CTTAACCGACTGCGCCACCCAGGCGCCCCTAAAAATAAAATTTTAGACGAAGAAACAATTTGCCAGTATGGTCCAATTTGCAAAATGAAGTAGCTTGAAAACTAGAATTGGAACATATGATTAGAAAGTTTTTGTCTTTGGGGCACCTGGGTGGCTCAGTCAGTTAAGTGTCCGATTTCAACTCAGGTCATGATCTCACAGTCGTGGGTTCGAACCCCATGTCAGGCTCTGTGCTGAAAGCTCAGAGCCTGGAGCCTGTTTTGAGTCTGTGTCTCCCTTTCTCTCTCTGCCCCTCCCCCATTTGTGCTCTGTCCCTCTCTCTTTCTCTCTCTTTCTCGCTTTCAAAAATAAACATTAAGAAAAGAAAAAAGAAAGTTTTTGTCTTTATCTGGTTAAAAAAAAAAGAGGAAAAAACATATTTTCTCCAGTATATCTGTGTTTAATGCTAGTTGAATCTTCTCAAAGAATGAAGCATTCTTGATCATTTTTAAATTATTCTAAAATACTTGTGCTGATCAATGCAGGTATTTGATGACCTTTCCTTCTCCTCCTTTTAGGTCAGATGACTGATTTGATCCATACAGAGAAAGATCTGGTGACTTCCCTGAAAGACTATATTAAGGCAGAAGAGGACAAATTAGAACAAATAAAAAAGTAAGCAAAGTGTTCTACTTACGATTCTGACTCTACCTGGATGTTTTCCCTCTAGAGCTAAAACATTCTTTGAGTGGAAGTGGAAGCCATTTGTCTTAAAAAGCCAGTTGAAATGACTAACATAGGAGTGCAAAAAACAAGAGTTAGGCCTGGGACAAGAGTTCAGGTAGGGGATCGTGGATTGAGATAAGGATATAAATGGCTATGGGGTTGACTGACAATTTCTAAAAATGGTTGCTAATTTCTTCTGTCTTCCTCTAATCTCCCTAATCAAGTCATCTTCTGGAACAGTTTTCCAATTCTATTTATTCTTCATTGCTATGGCTCCATTCTAGAGATTATAGTGATAAGTATTGTTAGTATTGATAGGTTTTTCCTTAAATGCTAATTTATTTTTAATTGACTCAGGTTATAGTTAATCCTGAGAATTCCTGCCTTTTGTTTAGTGAGTAACTGACTATTCAGTTGTTTGTTTGTTTTAAAGTATAGTTTTTAGGTACTGGGGTGCCTGGGTGGCTCAGTTGGTTGAGTGTGTCTGACTCTTGATTTTGGCTCAGGTCATGATCCCAGGGTCATGCAGATTGAGCCCTGCATGTAGCTCTGCACTGTGTGTGGAGCCTGCTTGGGATTCTCTATCTTCCTTTGTCATTCTAACCCACTTGTGCTATGGTGTGTGAGCGCGCGCTCTCTCTCTCTCTCTCTCTCTCTCTCTCTCTCAAAATTAAACAAATAAGATAAAATATAGTTTTTAGATACTGCATGTAGAATTTTTGTACAAGTTTGATTTAAATGAACATGTAACAGAATTTATAATAATAATCAGTTATTCGGATTTAAGGACTTGTGGGGAGACGTATTTTTAGACTCTTGCTAGAGAGATCCAGTCGTAACTTAAAAAAAAATTTTTTTTTGACATTTATTCCTTTTTTGAGAAACAGACAGTGTGAATGGGGGAAGGACAGAGAGAGAGGGAGACACAGAATCCAAAACAGGCTCCAGGCTCTGAGCTGTCAGCACAGAGCCCGACACGGGGCTCGAACTCATGAACTGTGGGATCATGACCTGAGCCAAAGTCGGACGCCCAACCGACTGAGCCACCCAGGTGCCCCTCCAGTCACTTAAAGATAAGTTCCATTTACTGTAACCATTTGAGAGAAGCAAAACTACAAGAAAGGCCTTATTATATTGATTCTACCATGCTAGATTTTATCCATAACAGCCTTGCTTTTTAAAAAACCTATAATTTTGTTTTAAAAATAATTCTTTTTTTAAGAGAGAGTGCACGTGAGTGCATGTGTGCACTGTTCAGGAAGGGCAGAGAGTGGGAGAGAGAGGGAATCTTAAGCATGCTCCATGCTCTGCATGGAGTCCAACATGGGGCTCGATCCCGAGAGTCTGGGATCATGACCTGAGCCAAAATCAGGAGTCTGATGCTCAACCAACTGAGCTACCCAGGTGCCCCTAAAAAGAATTTTTAAATATAGTTTTAACTCAAAAGCCTCTAATCTCATCTTTTTTCTTTTTCTGAGTGATTTACTAAATTGTGTTCTTCCTTATTAAGTGTATGTATGCTCCATTTATATGTCTTACATTTCCAGATGGGCAGAGAAATTAGATCGACTAACTAGCACAGCAACAAAAGATCCAGAAGGATTTGTTGGGCATCCTGTAAATGCATTCAAATTAATGAAACGTCTGAACACTGAATGGAGTGAGTTGGAGAATCTGGTCCTTAAGGATACATCAGATGGTAAGTCTGATGGTAAGAATAATGAGCCAAAAAAAAAAGATAATATTGGTGCCACCTGTGGAAATGCCAATAGTGATGAATTCAGTTCCCAGAACATCAAGTGTTCAGTGTTGTAATTGAAGTGTTGCAGGGTGTGTTTGATTTAATTAAAGTTAGTCTAGATCCTGAATTCCTTGATTTAAAAAAAAGGGAATAAAAACAAATAAAAACAAAACTTTAGGCTAAAAAAAAGTAATTTGTGTTATTGGTGCTTTTTGCTTTGAAGTTTATAAAAATGAATTATTTGGCATATAGCTTCATTACTGAAGGTAATGAAATAATTATTACATTAATAATTAATAATTAATTAAATCAGGGCTTGGTAAGTAGAAGGCTACATGTCCACTTCAGCCAGGTCAACATCTCATGGTCCTGGGTGGAGTTCGGTGCCCCGTATCGGTCATTGGATGGCCCAGAGCCTGGAGCCTGTTCATTCTGTGTCTCCCTCTCTCTGCCTCCCCTCCCCCCCTGCTCATACAGTTCCCATCTCCTCTGTCTGCAAAAAATAAATAAACGTTGAAAAAAAAATTAAAAAAAAAAAAAAAGCAAAATGAATTAAAATGAAATAATTCCTGTAAACAGGTTGTTTAGCTCGTGACGAAAATTTATATGTAAATTTCATTTTCTTGAATCAATTTTTAATATATTGGGAGTGGTACTATAAGGAAAAGTGTTAGTTATTTTCCACATAGTATTTTGAAGTTTAGAATTGTTTTACCTGAACAGTAAATTTAAAAACGAAGGCTGCGAACAGTAACAATGAAGGTCTTTCTAATTGAACAATAAAATTGTAGTTGGAGTATTGAGGTATTTTAGATATTTTAGTAACAGACACAGAAAACTAAGTCTGGAGTTTAAGAACTAGAGGGAATATGCTTAGAGTAGGGGCTCAAATATTTGTTCAGTGACTAAAGGTGGAATGAAAAAGGGAGAAAGAGGATGAAAACTGAGCTAGCTATGCAAATGAAAATACTCTAAGGGTGCTTACAAGTGTTTGTGAGCAATAAACCATTATGCGTAGGACAGAAAACCTTGGAAAGAAAAGTTAAGGCAAGCACTTGTGAAAATTTCTTCATGGTAAGAGGGAAATACTGGTGGTTAGTTGCTCTCTTACATAGCACCATGAGAATGTTTTTAAAGTCATGTACGTATGTGTATACACACACACACACACACACACTTAATTAAAAAAAAATCTCAAGTAGTGACCTTTATGACTTAAGTTATTTTATAAGGTAAACCTTGAGACTGACATTTTAATCTGTAGTAGTCATCCCTTAATTCTATAATGCGTATATTTTTTCTCTTTTTTATTGGAAAGGATTTAAGCAACTTCTTTGATTTTGTTTTGGGTCATAGAAGATTGTAAAATTTGTAAAATCCCGTGTGGACATTGTGACTGAGTTGGTTTTAAAAATAAAAAATATGCTTGATGAGAACTTTAGCCCTCTCCTAGCCAGTTGTTCATTTGCACAAATTCTTGGCCTTTTGCTGATCAAAGTACACATAGTTGATTATAAGTAAATGAGAGGGAAGGGAAGTTTCATACCTAGCTTTTATTTATTTATTTTTTTAATGTTTATTTTTGAGAGACAGACAGAGACAGAGTGAGACAGAGTATGAACAGGGGCAGGGGAGGGGCAGAGAGAGAGGGCAAGACACAGAACTCGAAGTAGGCTCCAGGCTCTGTGTTGTCAGCACAGAGCCTGATATGGGGCTTGAACTCACGAACTGTGAGATCATGACCTGAGCTGAAGTCGGACACTTAACCAACTGAGCCACCCACGTGCCCCCATACCCAACTTTTATTTGCAAATGCTGACACATATTAAAATTTTAAATCAATTTTGTTTTTGTTTTTGTTTTGGTTTTGGTTTAACCTTAAGGAGTATTTAGCACCTATTCTCCTTAGGCATTATATAGTTATCAGTAATTAGTTTGTTAGTTTGATTTTGTTATATTTTGTATAAAACCTTTTAATATTAAGATCAGATTCTATATAGAGCAAATCTTGGTTGATCACTTTACTCAATAATTTAACAGATCTGAATATATTTTAATAAACTAGTTCACTTGATCTTAAATATATTATTAAAATCTCTTTCTTCCTCAGGGAATTCCACCAAACTTTACATACTTACATATTTATATAGTGTGTGGCATGTGGAAGAAGAAAATACAACTTTAGTTTTTTAAGTCTATTTAAAAAAATTTTTTTTTTTTGATGTTTATTCTTAGAGAGAGAGCATCAGCAGGGGAGGGGTAGAGAGAGGGAGACACAGAATCGGAAGCAGGTTCCAGGCTCTGAGCTGTCAGCACAGAGCCCGGCATGGGGCTCGAACTAACAAACCGTGAGATCATGACCTGTGCCGAAGTCAGACACTTAACCAACTGAACCACCCAGGTGCCCCCAAAATAGAACTTTCTTTAAGCGCGTATATTTTACTTACAATCTGTTATTTGAAAGTATAATTGGTTGGGGTGCCTGGGTGGCTCAGTTTGTTGAGCATCTGACTTCAGCTCAGGTCATGATCTCACGATTTGTGAGTTCGAGCCCTGCGTTGGGCTCTGTGCTGACAGCTCCGGGCCTGGAGCTTGCTTCTGATTTTGTGTCTTCCTCTCTCTCTGTGCCTCACCCACTTGTGCTCTTTCTCTCTCTCTCTAAAATAAATAAACATTAAAAAAAAATTTTTTTTAAAGTATAATTGGTTGCCAGTGGATGTCATTTTCAAATCTGTGAATCCCATTTTTCAAGCTTAGTGGAGGCTATGTTGTGTAACTAAAAACTCAGTTATCATGTTGATCTTTACCTAATACAGATAGGATTTATGCAATGACTTCAGATTACTTAAGCAACATTAGGGTTTGGGAAGATTGAGTAAGTTAGAGGTATTTCAAATCTTAGTGTATTTGTTTTTGTTTTGTTTTTTTTCCCTGTTGAGCATGTGGAACTTGTTATGGTAGAAAACTATAATAAAATGAATTTTGAAAAATCCTTATAAACACTATATATTGCAGATTGGAAGTCTGTGAGGTTCTAGTCATTGTTTTTTTCTTTTTGTATTTGTTTTGTTTTCCTTTTTTTTTTTTTTTTTTTTTTTTTTTTAATTTCAAGGCTTTATCTCTAACCTAACCATTCAGAGACAGTACTTCCCTAATGATGAAGATCAGGTTGGGGCAGCCAAAGCTCTGTTGCGTCTCCAGGACACCTACAATTTGGATACAGACACCATCTCAAAGGGTAATCTTCCAGGTAAGAATTCTTTTAGTCTATAAAACACTTATCACCTGGCTGCTCCATTCAGTCCATTAGGACATTAATCTAAAAAATCTTTTGTATTTTAAGATTTTTAGCTTTAGTTTATTTCACAGTCTTTTATGCCAAATAACCCTCTGTTTCTCTAGGACTTAAGAGTTGTAAGTTTCTAGCTTGTGAAAGCTTAATGTTACAGGAACTAAACTTATATAGTCATGTTTTTCTTTAGAACATCCAATGTTTGTATGTGGTTATAAGGCAATGGATAGTCAAAGTTTATATGTTCATTAATTTAAAAACCAAGACATATTTGATGTATACAGATTTTTAAAGGGTTCTATAATATGGAACATCCTGCTTTTTCCTATTTTTGGCACAACCTTTTTTTTTTTTTAGGTTACAGCTGATTTCATTCAAATTTGCTTTAAAATTTTTGTTGTGCAGAAGTTAAATGACAAATTTATCATCTTAGTCACTTTTAAATGTGTGGTTTAGTGGCGTTAAGTACATTCACACTGTTATGCAACCATCACCAGCATCCATCTCCATAGTTCTTTCATCTGGTAAAACTAAAACTCTGTACTCATTAAATAATAACTCCCTATCTCCTATTTTCCCCAGCCCTATCATTCTATTTTTTAAGTTTATTTATTGTTGAGAGAGAGTATGCGAGCAAACAGGGGAGGGGCATAGAAGAGCGGGCAGAGAGAGAATCCCAAGCAGGCTCCGAGCTGTCAGCACAGAGCCCGTTGTGGGGCCCAACCCAGGAACTGTGAGATTGTGCCCTGAGCTGAAATCAAGAATCGGATGCTCAACTGACTGAGCCACCCAGGTGCCCCTTATCATTCTACTTTATGTTTCTATGATTTTGACTATCCCAAGTACCTCATATAATTGGAATCATACAGTATTTGTCTTTTTGTGAGTGGCTTATTTCACTTAGCATAATGCCCTCAAGGGTCATCCATGTCGTAGCAAATGTCAGAATTTCCTTACTTTTTAAGGCTGAATAATAATGCAACATGTATGTCATGTAAACACACACGCACACACACAATCACATTTTGCTTATCCTATGCATCAGTAGGACACTTTGGTTGCTTCCATGTGTTAGCTATTGTGAATAATGCTACTGTGAACATGGGTGTGCAACTATCTCTTTGAGACCCTGCCTGTCATTCTTTAGTATATATACCCAGAAGCATAATTGCTGGATCCTATGGGTCAAATTCTGTTTTTAGTGTTTTGGGGAACTGCCATACTATTTTCCATAGTAGATAGACCATTATATATTTCCACCAACATGTATAAGGGTTCCAATTTCTCTACCTACTCTCCAACACTTGTTATTATCTCCTTTTTTGATAGTGGCTATCCTAATGGGTGTGAGGTGATATCTCATTGTAGTTTTGCATTCCCTCATTATCAGTGATGTTGAATATGTTTTCATGTGCTTAGTAGCCATCTGTATGTCTTTATTGGAGAAATGTCTATTGAAGCCTTTTGCCATTTTTAATTGTTTTTTTGTTATTTTAGGAGTTGTCTATATATTCTAGATGTTAATCCCTTATGAGATTTATGATTTACAAATATTTTCACCCATTCTGTGGGTTGCCTTTTTAGTTGGTTGATACTGTCTTTTGATGCATAAAATTTTTAAATTTTTGTGAAGTCCAATTTATTTTTTCTTTTGTTGCCTATGCCTTTGGGGTTGGTTATATATAAGAAATCATTGCCTCATCCAATGTCATGAAGCTTTTCTCCTATGTTTTCTTCTAAGTTTTATTGTTTTAGTCTTACATTTAGGTCCATTATCCATTTTGAGATAATTTTTTACAAATGGTGTTAGGGTAAGCATCCAACTTCATTTTTTTTGCATGTGAATATCCAGTTTTTCCAGCACCATTTGTTAAAAAGACTGTCCTTTCCCCACTGATTGGTCTTGGCACCTTTGTTAAAAAGTTTATGACCATATATGTGAGAGTTTATTTCTGGGCTTCCTGTTCTATTCCATTGGTCTGTATGCCTATCTTTACGCCATATTAATACCACACTGTTTCAATGACTAATTTTGTTGTGAGTTTTAAAATCTGGAAGTTTGAGTTCTCCAGTTTTGTTCTTTTTCAAGATTGTTTTGACTATTATTTTTCAAGATTGTTTTGAGTATCCCATGAGATTACATATGAATTTTAGGATGGGTTTTTCTATTTCTGCAAAAAATATCATTGGGATGTTGGTAGAGATTGTATTGAATCTGTATATCAGTTTGGGTACTATTGCCATTTTAATAGTATTAAGTTTTCCAATCCATGAACATAGGATGTATCTCCATTTATTTATGTTTAATTTATTTCAGCAACATTTTGTGGTTTTCATTGTACATGTCTTTCACCTCTTTGGTTAATTCCTAACTATTTTATTCTTAGAATTATTTTAGTGGTTTTCTTTTCAGATTATTCATTGTTAGTATGTAAAAATGCAACTGAGTTTTGTGTGTTGGCTTTATATTCTGCTACTTTGCTGAATTTATTTATTAGCTCTAACTGTGTGTGTGTGTGTGTGTGTGTGTGTGTGTGTGTGTGTGTAGTCTTTAGGGTTTTCTGCATAGAAGATAATATCACCTGCAAAGAGAGACTATTTTACTTCTTCTTTTCCAATTTGGCTGCTTTATATCACTTCTTCTTGCCTAATTTCTCTGGCTAGAGCTTCCATACTAAATTGAATAGGAGTGAAAATGGGCATCCTTGTTTTTGTTCTTCATTTTATTTATTTATTTATTTTTTTTTTAATTTTTTTTTTTCCAACGTTTATTTATTTTTGGGACAGAGAGAGACAGAGCATGAATGGGGGAGGGGCAGAGAGAGAAGGAGACACAGAATCGGAAACAGGCTCCAGGCTCTGAGCCATCAGCCCAGAGCCTGACGCGGGGCTCGAACTCACGGACCGCGAGATCGTGACCTGGCTGAAGTCGGACGCTCAACCGACTGCGCCACCCAGGCGCCCCTGTTCTTCATTTTAAAGGAAAAGCTCTCAGTCCTTCACCATTGCATATGTTTGCTGTAGATTTTTCAAGTATGTCCTTTTTTATGTTTAGGTAGTTTCTTTTTAGTTCTAGTTTGTTGAGTTTTTTCTGCATCAGTTGAGATGCTCATGTGTTTTTCTTCCCTTTATTCTGTAATGTGTTTTACATTGATCTGTTTTCATATATTGAGACATCCTTGCTTTCCAGGAATAAATTCCCCTGGTTATGGTGTGTTATCCTTTTAATATTCTGTTTGCCAGTACTTCATTGAGGATTTTTCATCAATGTTTGTAAGGGATATTGGTCTGTAGGTTTCTTGTACAGTCTTTGGTTTTGGTGTAAGGGTGATGCTGGCCTCATAGAATGAAATGGGAAGCATTCTCTCCCCTTCAATTTTCTGGAAAAGTTTGAGAAGGATTAGTGTTAGTTCTTTAAATGTTTGGGAGAATTCTCCATTGAAGCCATCAGGTCCAGGACTTTTCTATGTCAGGAGACTTTTGATTACTGAATTAGTCTCCTTACTAGTTACCGGTCTATTCAGATTTTCTATTTCTTTCTTAGTCTTGGTAGGCTTTTTGTTTCTAGGAATTTATCCATTTCATCTAGGTTATCCAGTTTGTTGATGTACATTTTTCATACTACTCTCTTATAATCTTTGTGTTTCTGTAGAATCAGTAGTAGTGTTCCTTCTTTCATTTTTTCAGGGGGGAAGGAGGGGCAGAGAAGGAGGGAGAGAATATTAAGCAGGCTCCACACTCAGCATGAAGCCTGACTTGGGGCTCAATCCCATGACCTTGGGATCATGACCTGAGATGAGATCAAGGTTTTGGAGCTTCAACCAACTGAGCCATCCAGGATCCCTCCTTTTTTTTTTTTTTTTTTTAATTTATTTTTGAGACACACAGAGAGAGAGAGAGAGACAGAGCATGAGCAAGGGAGGGGCAGACAAGGGAGACACAGACACAAGCAGGCTCCAGGGCTCTGTGAGATGTCAACGAACCCGCAGCGGGGGATCAAACTCACGGACTGTGAGATCACGACCTGAGCTGAAGTCAGAGCGCAACCAGTTACCTCCCAGCCAAGCATCCATTTTTTTATTTTAGTAATTTGAATATTCACTTTTTTTCTTAGTTCATGTAGTAAGGATTATCAGTTTTGTTGATCTTTTCTAAGGACCAACTTTTGGTTTCATTAATTTTCTTTTTTTTTTTTTTTTTGGTAATGTTTATTTATTTATTTATATGAAATTTATGTCAAATTGTTTTCCATACAACATCCAGTGCTCATCCCAACAGGTGCCCTCCTCAGTGCTCACCACCCACCCTCCCCTCCCTCCCACCCCTCATCAACCCTCAGTTTATTCTCAGTTTTTTAAGAGTCTCTTATGGTTTTGCTCCCTCCCTCTCTAACTTTTTTTTTTTCTTCTCCTCCCCCACATCATCTTCATTCCAGAGTTCAGGATCACATAGAGTGCTGAAAGAAAACATATGGTATCTCGTCTTTCTTGGATGACTTAGCTTCACTTAGCATCACACCTCCCAGTTCCATCCATGTTGCTACAAATGGCCAGATTTCATTCTTTCTCTTTAATGTTTATTTTTGAGAGAGAATGTGCACATGTCTACATGTGAGCAGGAGAGGGGTGGAGAGAGGGAGACAGGATCTGAAGAGGGCTCTGCACTGACAGTAGAGAGCCTCATGCAGGGCTTGAACCCATGAACTGTAATATTATGACCTGAGCCGAAGTCAGATGCTTAATTGACTGAGCCACCCAGGCACCCTGGTTTCATTAATTTTCTCTATTTTTTTTTATAGTCTATTTAATTTACCTCTAATACTTCCTTCTGCTAGCTTTGGGTTTAGTTTTTTCTTGTTTTTCTCGTTTCTTAGTTGTAAAGTTGTACAAGTTAGGTTATTGATTTGAGATCTTAAGTTGTAAAGTTAGGTTATTGATTTGGGATCTTTCTAGCTTTTT